CCAGTTAATATGACTATTATTCAAATTTATGCACCAACCACTAATGTCAAAGATGAGGAAATTGAAGATTTTTACCAACTTCTGCAGCCTGAAATCAATCAAACACACAATGAAGATGCATTTATAATTACTAGTGATTGGAATGTGAAAGTTGGAAACAAAGAAGGATTGGTAGTTGAAAAATATGGCCTTGGTGATAGAAATGACGCCGGAGATTGCAGGACGAATGACTTAGTCACTGCAAACACCTTTTTTCAGCAACATAAATGGCATCTAAACATGTAGACCTCACCAGATGGAAAACACAGGAATGAAATTGACTACATCTGTGGAAGGATATGAAGGAAAAGCTCAATATCATCTGTTAGAACAATGCCAGGAGCTGACCGCGAACAGACCATCAATTGCTCATATGTAACTTCAAACTGAAGTTGAAGAAAATTAAAACAAGGCCACAAGAGCCAAAATATGACCTTGAGTATATCCCACCTGAATTTGAGACCATCTCAAGAATAGATTTGATGCAATGAACACTAATGACTGAAGACCAGACGAGTTGTGGGAAGGCATCAAGGACATCATACATGAAGAAAGCAAAAGGCCATTAAAAAGACAGGAAAGAAAGAAAAGACCAAAATGGATGTCAAAGGAGACTCTGAAATTTACTCTTTAACATAGAGTAGGTAAGGCAAATGGAAGAAATGATGAAGTAAAAGAGCTGAAACAGAAAATTTCAAAGGGCAGCTCAAGAAGACAAAATAAAATATTATAATGAAACATGCAAAGACCTGGAGTTAGAAAACCAAAGGGGAAGAACACGCTCGGCATTGCTCAGGCTGAAAGAACTGAAGAAAAAATTCAAGCTTTGAGTTGCAATTCTGAAGTATTCTATGGGCAAAATATTGAATGATGCAGAGAGCATCAAAGCAAATGGAAGAAATACACAGAGTCACTGTAACAAAAGGGATTGGTCGACATTCAACCATTTCAGGAGGTAACATATGATCAAGAACCAATAGTATTGAAGGAAGACGTTCAAGCTGCACTGGAGGCATTGGTGAAAAACAAGTCTCCAGGAATTGACAGAATACCAATTGAGATGTTTCAACAAAGGGATGCAGCGCTGGACGTGGTCACTTATCTACGCCAAGAAATTTGGAAGACAGCTACTTGACCAACTGCCTGGAAGAGATCCATATTTGTGTCCATTCCAAAGAAAGGTGATCCAACAGGATGTGGAAATTATTGAACAATATCATTAATACCACACTCAAGTAAAATTTTGCTGAAGATAACTAAAAAACGGTTGCAGCAGTACATTGACGGGGAACTGCCAGAAGTTCAAGCAGGACTCAGAAGACGTGGAACGAGGGATATCTTGGCTGAAAGCAGAGAATACCAGAAGGCTGTTTACCTACATTTTATTGACTATGCAAAGGCATTTGACTGCAAGGATCACAATGAATTATGGATAACATTCTGAAGAATGGGAATTCCAGAACACTTAATTGTGCTCTTGGGGAACCTGTTCATAGACCAAGAGGCAGTCATTTGAACAGAGCAAGCAGACACCGCATGGTTTAAAATCAAGAAAGGTGGGTGTCAGGGTTGTAGCCTTTCACCATACTCATTCAATCTGTTTGCTGAGCAAATAATCGGAGAAGCTGGCCTATATGAAGAAGAATATGGCATCAGGATTGGTGGAAGACTCATTAACAACCTGCAATATGCAGATGACACAACTTTGTTTGCTGAAAGTGAAGAGGACTTGGAGCACTTACCTATGAAGATCGAAGACCATAGCCTTCAGTATGGATTACAATTCAACATAAAGAAAACAAAAATCCTCACAACTGGACCAATAATCAACACCATGACAAACGGAGACAAGATTGACTTTGTCAAGGATTTCATTTTACTTGGATCCACAATCAATACCCACGAAAGCAGCAGTCAGGAAATCTGACTGGGTAAATCTGCTGCAAAAGACTTTTAAAGTGTTAAAAAGCAAAGATGTCACTTTGAGGACTAAGGTGTGCCTGACCCAAGCCATGATATTTTCAATTGCCTCATAAGCATGTGAAAGCCGGACAATGAATTAAGAAGACTCAAGGAGAATTGATGCCTTTGAATTAAGGTGTTGGTGAAGAATACTGAATATACCATGGACTGCCAGGAGAATATAGGCAGAGTGCTCTTTGAAAGTGAGGGTGGCGAGACTTTGTCTCACATACTTTGGACATGTTATCAGGCGGGACCAGTCCCTGGAGAAGGACATCATGCTTGGAAAGGTAGAGGGTCAGCGAAAAAGAAGAAGTCTCTCAACAGGATGGACTGACACAGTGGATGCAACAATAGGCTCAATCATAACAGTGATTGTGAGAATGGCACAGGACCTGGCAGTGTTTCATGCTATTGTACATAGGGTGGCTATGAGTTGAAAACAAGTCGATGGCACCTAACAACAACAACAACAGTATTCTATTGTGTGTATGTACTACAGTTTGTTGATCATTCATCTATTGACGGGCACTTATTTCCATCTTCTTGCTATTGTGAATAACGCTGCAATGAACATGGGTGTGCATATGTCTACTCATGTTATGGCTCTTATTTCTTTAGGGTATATACCTAGGAGTGGGATTGCTGGGTCATATGGTATTTCTATTTTTAGCTTTTTGAGGAAGCAGCATACCGTTTACCAAAGTGGTTGTACCATTTTACATTCCCACCAGCAGTGTATAAGAGTTCCAATCTCTCCACAACCTCTCCAACATTTGTTATTTTCTGTTTTGTTTTGTTTTTTTAACTAGCACCAGTAATGCCAGGGTGAGATCATTGTAGTTTTGACTTGTATCTTTCTAACGGCTAACGATCACCGGCGCTTTTTTCATGTGTTTGTTAGCTGTCCTAGGTGTCTTCTTTGGTGGAGTGTCTGTTCATATCCTTTACCAATTTTTTAATTGGGTTGTTTGTCTTTTTGTTGTTGAAGTTTTCTATAGATTTTAGAGATTAGACCCTTGTTGGATATGCCATAGTCAAATTTTTTTTTTTTTTCAGTCTGTAGGTTCTCTTTTTACTTTTTTGGAGAAGTCTTTTGATAAGCATAAGTATTTAATTTTTAGGAGGTCCCATTTATCTAGTTCATTTTCTTCTGTTTAGTGGTCCTTTCTTAATCTTCATGCCACTTGGTCTTTTCTTGCTTTTGACTCTATGCTGTGATGATAAATATTAGTTGAATAGAAAAATAATATATCTTTCTGGGTTTCTTTTCATATCTTCTCTTGTCGCTGCCCCTATTGACTAGCTCATGGGTTTAACTAATTACCATGTGGTAATATGTTGCTTTACTCTTCTGCCACCCCTGATATTTGAGTCTCTCCATGCTTTTCACTATTTTCTTGTTTGTTTTTCAGTGAATCACCAAATTGGTGAAATTAGACAGATTTTAATATTCCTACTTGACAGCGAAGGAAAGAGAACCCCAACTGATGAAGGGACTTGCCCATAGTTACACAGTTAAATTAATGACAATTTCAGAACTAAGACCAGAACCCAGGATAATTGGTTCGGTAACACTGAACAAACATTTGTTGAGCGCCTCCGCTGTTCAGGGACATTGTGGCATGGCATACCAAAGAAACCTGTAGTCTACTGGGGAATAATTTGGGAAGCAAGAGCCATAATGGGAACGGCACCCTGGGATTCAAAAGTGGATGAAATAACATCCAGTTGAGCAGAGGAAGAATGAACACGTGTTCAACAGGTAGCTACTGGAGACAGGGCATTGAAGTCACAAGAAAGCATTAAAAAGGGCTCTGTGATGAAAAACTGTGGGTTGTCTTTGGGGAATCGCTGATTCTGAATCGGGCAGAGGCCAGTTGAACCACAGGCAGCTGGACATGTAGGGGTGTGGTATGTGGTACGGAATAAAGTTGGAAAATGTAGGCTCCTTCTCATTGCACCACTCTGCTTACGCTAAGGACATTGTCTCTTCCTTTTTACTGCCAGTTTCCTGTGGGTAGAGATCCTGTCCTCTACTTATTTCGTTGAGCCTAAAGGGACTAATCCAGGACTCTGCAGAGACTGGATGCATAAGTCACAGTAAGCCTACTGAAAGGAAACAAAGCTGGCGGGCCCTCGCCATGGCGGTGCCGCGGCAGTGGTGAAATGGGACAGCCGAACGCTCCGCAGTTGAAGTGGGAATACAAGCGGACCAAGAAAGCAGGGAGACGCAGGCCTCTTGCTAGTGATGTTAAACTGAAGAAAGAAAAAGGATCTTTTCCTGAAACACACGAGAAAGGGGAATTGAGCCTCAAGGTCAACATGGTGCTCGCCCCACTCGGTCTCCAGTTGGAGGCAGCGATCCCTGGCTTCAGTGAACGCTGGGAAGGACAGGAAAGAATGAGGCCTAGGGCCTAGAGACGAACACGATGGGAATCAGGGACGACGCGCCCAGCACAGGAACCCGAGAGCGGAGGAAGGCTGCCTCATTAGCCCTTCCGCTGCCTCAGGGGAGGCCTTCTGTAAACAGTCCTGGACTCACAGCAATTCATCCTGTTTTTAATGAAACCATTTCCAGAACGCAAAAGAGGGCGGTACCCAAAGGAATCTGGAACAAACACCCAGCAGGGCCAGTGGAGCCGCGTCTGTTTGGATCAGGCGGCCGCAGACTGACAGACTACCGCAGCACTGGCGGATGGATGACGGTGGGCGGCGCCGCGCCGAGCTTCACGAGCCGATGCCGCCCTGCAGCGGCTGGAGGCTCCGCGCGGTGCAGCCCAATCCGCCTCGCACCGCCCCAGCCTCGCGGCCGCAGGATCGCAGCGTGGGCGGGGCCGTCCGCAGCTGGGGGCGGGGCCTGGCGGGACGCGAGCGACTCGCCGCGGGTCGGCGCGGAGTTGGGCGGGAGCGGCAGACTCCTCCGCTCCCTGATTAGGCCTGGGCGGAGCAGGGGGCGGTGCCTCGGGAGGTTCTGCCGGACGGCATTGGGCACCGCGGAAGGAGGGCTGTGGTTTTGTGAAGTCAGTTCCGGTTGGTGTAAACCCCCTCGGGGCGGCGGCGAACGGATTTCAGATGCTTCTGATTCGCGGTGTGAGAAGCTGAAAGCAGTTCGTCGTGAGAGTTTGGAAGCCGAGCGCTATCGCCACCGGCGAGGGGATGGCGGTGACCCGGACCGCGGCCACTGCGGCCATGGGCAGGCTTCTGGTCCTGCTGCTGCTCGGGCTCACAGCGCCTGCAGCGGCGCTGGCCGGCTACATCGAGGTAGGGGCCGCGCGCGCTGGGGCGCCGTCTCCCTCATCTGCCCGGGGGAAGCGGCCTGGGGCGGGCGGCTGTCCGCGGTGGGGGCGCGGTGCGGGGAGGGTCTGGCGCTGCGGCGGTCTGGCCCTCTCCCGCCTCCGCTGCCGCCGCCTCCCGCTTGGCGCAGTGCTTATCCTGGAGGCCGGCGGCTCCGCCACTGCAGAGGCCAAATGAAAGGCATCGGGGTTGCGGGGAGCCGGCGGTGCGGGGGCGGTGCGGGCGGGCCTCCCTGCCCCCACTTGGCGCCGCGGCCCCGCAGGTCGTCGGGGATCCCTGCGAAGCCGAGGCTCCAACCCCGCCCTCCCCCGGGACAATGTAAGCCTCCCGCTGCGTGCTCCTGCGGCTCCGCCGGTTGCGGGCGCTGCTGCTGCTGCTGGGATCTGCATCCAGACCTTTGTGCGCCCGTCCCTCCAGTGGGCGGCCCGGTGGGGACCGGGAGCCAGGCGTCCCTGCTTGGCCACCCCCTCCTTACCTCACCGAAAAGCGCGCTCGCTCTCCGGGTTATGGGAGCGCCTTTCTTTAGGGAGATCCCCACCTAGAAGCAGAGCCTTTATTGGCAAGGCGGATTTTGCTTTTTGGATGCATGCTTTCTGGTTTTCGCCCTTCTCAAAGTAACCTTGATGCCGGGGAGCGGGTAAATAGGCTTTGGCTAGACTGTGAGAAAGGTCTGCGTGAAGCAGCGGGTGTGCGTCTCTGCTTCCTGGGGTGCCCTAGGAGTTGGGTTGCCTGCCTTTCAAATAAAAATCACTGCTACTGGTATCAGTCCTTTGAGGAGAATTGTTAAATATAGCAGTTTGCCGAAGTCTAATAACTAGCGGGAAAAACAGCCTGTGGTGTTTGTGTTCATCCCTTTTGTGGTGAGTTTTAGCGAGTAAGGAAGGTACCTATTAATGCTTCGCAAAAAACACCTTTTTTTAAGTCATGCTATGGTGTATGTCTTCAAATTTAAGTATTCTGCATCAGAGGCAGCTCTGTAAACACCTTTGTGCCGTGAGGTTCGGTGAAGTGACTTGAATTTCTTTGGCGATTCACGGTAATTGAGGCCACTGGAACAGGCAAGGTTGCTTTGGGGTTGGAATTGGGCTGGTTCTGCAGTGTGGTCTGGAGTGTGTGCGGGTTTACATAAACCTTCTTGTTGCCGAGGGAGACGTGGAACTTTATTTTTACTTGCCTCTTAGAAATAGTGCTTGACCTGTCGGACTGGAATGTGTGTTTCTAATGTAGTTTATTTCTCATCCCTCTTCACTATTTTAAAAATTAGAATTGATTTGTGGGTACTTGGCTGATTTCAAAGAGCCATGAGACTGGACTTGATTAAATAGATATTGACTGGCAACTTTCTAATAAAATAAAAGTTAGAGTGTGTCCACTTCTAGAGAATGTTTAAATATCTCCACGGAGAAAATAAGAAAAAACCACCCTCACTGAAGGAATGGCTTAAAACGTTTGCATTCGTTCTGCTTAAAGCTTCATGATGCTAGGGGGAAAAAAGGGGGGGGGGTAACTTAAATAGAAATAGTGATTATGTATATAAACTGCTTTTAGATTATGATGTATTTTACTCTCCGCATAATGGTTAGACTTACATCCGTGATGCCCAGTATCATGTAGGATGAAACCAAGCTAAATCGTTAAGATGAGAGGTTACAAAAAAAAAAAAAAAGATTTGAAATGGAAGAAGGGCAGGGGGTCAAAACCATGGTTCACACTTTCACCCCATGTCCCAGTGCTGTGAGCATCTGAAGGCACTAATTAATTCACAATGAAGTATCCGTCATTTTCAAAGAATATCACCCTTTCAGATTTAAGCAGAATGTAGATAGGCATTTGTATGCCTGCAGAGAAAGAAAAAATAATGCGAGAATTAGTTGTGAATTAGATTTGATTGTTAGCCACAACATCGTTCGTTTGAAGAGTCTGGCTGCACAGGAAATAGGAATTAAACATTTCCCCAGAATGGTTTTCAAGTGTTATTCTGTGATAGCTCCCGTTCTTTGGAACCATATTTTTGCCCACACTTACTAAATTATCTTTCAAATGGTTTCAAAACAAGCTGCTTTTCCTTTTGTCAAGCTGTCGGAATTTTATTCATATATATGTAATTCGATTTTGTTTTTCTGCTGTCTGGCAAAGGACTGTCTAAGCCTTACATTAGATGAGAATGGCGTAAATCAAATCAGGATGTCTTTCAGAAGGTCCTCGTTGAGATTAGCCAAAGGGATTCTAGCCAAATCCCTGATCAAGTTGCTTGGCACAGAGTTATTGATTGGAGAATCTTCAGTGTTGCTTGGTGTTGACTAAATTAATCTCTTACACCTGTTTAAAAAGGAAAAAAAAAAGAGAAAAAATCTCTTTGTACCCTGGGTCACTTCCTCTTTTAAATCCCAGACAAGTTCTGTTGTGTGTATGTCCCCATTGGGGAGTCTCAAGACAGTATTTGTGCTGAAACCCTGTAAGCTGAGCTTCTGAGAACCAGAACTCACGGTTCATTCTACAACATTTGGAAGTGAGTGGGTCGTTTGATAGCCGAAATTAATCCCAAATTAAGGTATGATTAAGGTAGGACAACTGTGTTGCTTTAAGTTAGTCCTTCATAAGTGTTTTTATTAGCACAATTTTTGAATCCTGCTAATTTCCCTCCTCGTAAAGTCTTGCTTGAAGTTGGTCCAGCATAATCTTAAATGTTTTATTAGGACAGTGCTGAATGTTATTATTTTTTCTTTCAATTAAAAATAATTTCAAATTTACAAAAAATTGCAAGAACTTTGCAAACCACTCTTAAACCCTTTCCCCAGATTCACCAGTTGTTAACATTTTCCCATCAGCTTTTGCTTTATCATTCATTCTGTTATTGTTGTATTTTTTGATGAACTATTTGAGAGTAACTTGCATATGTCATGCTCCTTTACCCCCTGAAAACTTCAGTGTGTTTCCTACAATTCAAAGACATTCTCTTACAAAGCCACAGTACAATTATCAACTTAAGGAAATTTAACATTAATATAATACTTCCATGAAATCTACTGTCTGTAATCCAGTTTGTCAGTTGACCCGATAGTGTCCTTTACAGCATTTGAAAACATGGTTATTTTTAAAGCCAATGAGCTTTGAATTCTTGGAAGAGTCGTTTATTTTTCCAAATACAAAAATCAGATTTTTAACTTCTGATAATGTTTTGATTTTGAAAAATCAAAAGTTAAAAACATTTCAAGATTCTTTAATTCAGTTATCTTATTCACCTTTACCAAATTCTTAGGCTTTTATGTTTTCTTTTTAATATAACAAGAAAAATTATACAGGCAGTACATACCCATTGTAAAAATTTAAAATTATGAACAATAAGAAATGAAAAATAACCTGAAATCACATCCAGGGAAGTCTCACTGTAAACATTTAAGAAAAAAATTTTTTTTAAATTTTACTTTGCAGCAAACTAGCTTCTCATTGAACAATTATTACACATACTGTTTTGTGACATTGGTTGCCAACCCCATGACATGTCAACATTCTCCCCTTGTCAACCTTAGGTTCCCCATTACCAGCTTTCCTGTCCCCTCCTGCCTTCTCATCCTTGCCCCTGAACTGGTGTGCCCATTTAGTCTCGTTTTGTTTTATGGGTCTGTCTAATCTTTGGCTGAAGGGTGAACCTCAGGAGTGGGTCACTATAAACATTTTGATGTTTGTATCCTTCCAGATCTATCATGTACATAAATTTGATGAAAGTAGCCAATATTGCATGTTGAAGCTGGTACCTGGCTGTTGTTGTTTTGAGTTATCCTGATATGAACTACTGAAGGACAATATTGTAAAGTGTTCTGTGTTACAGATAAGTAAGGGTACATCTTTGTACAGTAATTGTGGTTTCTGTGGAGGAGGGCAGTTGAGCTAGAATTCTAAATTGCCTATAATTCAATTTTCATGAGTTGTTTTTTAGTGAGATAAACTAGATTACCTTGAGGCTGAATTAAATTTTGTGTAGTGTACCTTGATTTACGGTCTGAAATGGAGAGTGAACCATGCAGGTGCATTGAAACCTAGATGGCTTTTATCACTTTTCTGGGTTCCAGTGCTTTATAGCAAGTATAACTGATACCTACAGGGAATTTTTCTTACATAAGCATCATGGAGGCTTTTAAAACATAACTAATCCGTCGTTTTTAAAATAGGAAGATTGGAAAACTAGCTAACTTTTCATTTGTTACTCAGCCATCCTACCAGTGTTCATTGGGCCGCTGTTACAGGTTTCTGTGCTAGAGCTGAATAGTGCAGTAGTGAAAACAAATGTTTATATCTTTTTTACTCTACACGATGTGCTTGCTTGTGCTTTCTAGACTCCACCCCCAGAGAGCTCAGTGAGTGCACCTGGGATGCTCTTGTTCCAAACGCTCCCAGGTGGTTCTAATACACCAGTAGAGGAAAACAAAACAAAATTCTTGCCAGCAAACCCCCGCCCCCAAAACAAACAAACAAACCACATTTGGGTACATTATCATTTAGGTCCCCAAACAGTCTGGTGAAGTAGATATGCTTATCTTTACCTCAAAAGTGCATCAGTAAAGGCCAGGGTCTTAAGATCACACAGCAGAGCCAGGGTAGGACTCCGTCCTGTGCCAAGTCTTGTGTTCTTTATCTTTCCTCTGTATTAGGGTGTTTCATAATGTCTCTCTTTTGGTTATAGATTTTCTTCCGCTCATGTTCACCTGTCTTTCCCACTACCAAAAATCTAATGTGAATATTTTCTTTAAAAAGAACTAATTTCATAGAAGTTACAATCTGTCGTGAACCAGTATACACCAAACTGTTAACAGTGGTTGTCTTTGAAGGATAGAATCACAGGGAACTTTGCCTTTTTATATCTGCCATTGGTTTTTTTTTAAAACCTTTTAATGCTTTTGTATGTAATGTGCAAATTTTTAAAAATAATAAGCTTGTTTCATTTTTGTATTCTGGCCAAAAATTTTAAG